AGCCACCATCAGTTTCTCTGATCCAAGTTATCATCTGCAACCAAAAGTACGGTGACAACCTTCCTTCAAATTCCCAAACCCTCATTCCTTGCCAAAGCAGAGCAGCCTTCCCCTGAGCCTGCGCACCTCCATCTGGCCCTCTGTGCACCAAGTGGCATTTCTGAGTCAAGTACTTCCGGCATACTTAGCCTGTGCTGCTCCACGCTTTTTCATGAATCCACAGCATGAAAGGGAGGCGGAAGGACTGGATTACCAGAGAAGAGATAACGGAAGCTAAAGCCTGTGTCCAAAGTCACGCAGCCAGGAAAGGGCAGAGCTGAAATTTGAACCCGGGGCTGCTTCTCTCTCCCTCACTGGTACTCCTCAGCCAGCCCATAAATGTTCACGCGCCTGTCTACTTCTTCCATTCTTAAGCTCTCGCACTGTCACCAGGACGTCTTTATCTTGGCGTGAGCTATTCCACGATCAAACATGCGGACTGAAGTGGAAGCTTCTTAGAAATTCCGTCAGGGAGATGGCGTGCTTCTTGCCTGACGTGATAGGTGGCGTTCGGACGTTCAGAAGTGAAAGTGCCCCTGTTGTCAGGTGCTGTCCAGTTAGGACGACAGAATCGGTGGGGAGGGAACCTTAACGGATCATGTGCTCTAGAAGTTCCCACACCTGGCTGACCACTCACCCGAGGAGCTTTACAAAGTGCAAATTCTGGGATTCTCCATCGGCCGAATCCCCATGTGCAGGGGAGTGGGGCTGAGGCAGTGAGAAGAGAAGGGCCCAGGGTTCTGTACTGTTTGAAACCTCCCCCAGGGAGTTCTGGTGGTCAGCAAAGATTTACGGCCATCATCGACTCTGTCCATTCATTCCACAAGGCAGAACCCGAGGCAAAGAGAAAGAAGGCACAAGATTTGTCCACAGTCCCTCAGCCAGCGAGAACGGAGCTGGGCCCAGAACCCCGGTCTCCCCATTTTCCGCCTGACGCTCTTCCCTTCATAGCTCCCCAGGGAGAAAAACGGACTGGCTTTCATGGGAAGATCAAGGAGCAAGATGTCCACATCGAGTAAAGCGTGTCCCCATGGCTCTGAAGCTGCTGTGACTTTGAATATTAACGATCAGGTCCGTCTGGGCATGACAGATTCTGCCTGGAATGCTATCGCCAGTCCTCGCTCTGCTCTTGAAGAAGTTTAACTCCAGACAAATTTCCATACATGTAGATTCTGCCTAAGGAGTCCTGGTGGTGCTGCCAAGTGAAGCATAGGGCTGCTACCTGAAAGGTCGCCAGTTTGCGTCCACCAACTCCTCTATGGGAGAGAGTTGAGGCAGTCTGCATCAGTAAAGGGTTCCGGCCTTGGAAACCCTATGGGGCAGTTCTACCCTGTCCTACAGGGTCATTACAGCCGTGGGCTTGGTTTTGTGGGTAGATTCTGCCTACTTGGTCAATTGGGAAGAAGCCTTGACAAATACCCTTCTAAAGAGGAGGATCAAAGTCGGTAGAATTCTTGGAGGAAGGGGTCACTTTATAAACAAGGCCCCATTTGGTCCTCTCTGCCCTGCTCCCTTCTTTAGCATGCTGTGGTGACTCGTGGTACTAGAGTGTGGCACAGACAGAGAGCACTACAGGTGGGGCCAGCGGCCAGGGGGCAGTGCAGTACAATGGCGAGGCCCCTGGGCCACCCAGTTGGATCCAGACTTAAGTTCTGATTCCCTGACTTACTAGTGGGAACAATATCACCTCTGTGTGTCTCAGTGTCCTCATCTGCAAAGTTGGGGAGATGATAGAGATAGCAGCCAGCACTCGAGACCCTTTGACCATTATGCACGGGTCTCTGTTCTAGGCGCATTGCGTGGATGCTCTCATCTAACTATCCTCATAACCACCCTGAAGGCAGCATCCCTGGCTCACAGACGAGGAAGACAGAATCTACCATATATTTTACTGCGAAGGCGACATGAGGAAATGCATGGAAGAATAAGCAGTGTCCTTGAGAAAGGAAAACAGCTCGGTGAATATTGCTCTTATTACATCGTTATTATCTAAGCCGAAGCAACGTTGCCAGCTTCTTGGATGGCACACGCAGTGAGGCACTCAGCCACTAGCTGAAGGGTTTATAGTTGAAACCCATCCAGAGGCTCTCGGGAGACCTGTCAATCGGCTCGGAAAGGCCACACCCTTGAGGACCCCACAGAGCGTGCTTCTATTGGGACACACACGGGGTCACCGTGACTCGGAATCGACTCTCTGGCCACTGACAGCAACGGCAAACTCACAGCCCTGTCTTCCTCTAGACCTGCCACACCATCTGACACATGTCACAGGCCATCTCCCTGGCCTCACATTTTCTGATCCATAAAAGGAGATGAGGGGGGTCCAGTTCCTCTAAGGCTTTCTTTAGCTCTTGGGCAGTATCGGTCTCAAGAAAAAAATGATTTTAGGTAAATTCAAGTCTTCAGATGATACACTGATGGGTGTTCAGCAACATGGGTTTGTAATATTAAAAAACCCATTTAAAAAAAAATGTCTGTCCCCTTTGGCACACCAATAGTAATTCTACACTAATGTTAATGACATATTAGTCACAGCATTATGATTATGCCTATGGGATATACCTCATTCCTTAGGTTTATTGAATGAGGACAAAGATTTATATCTGGGGATGTTCACTGGAGCATTGTATATGGTCACCCAAAATGAGAAGCAGCCTGGACATCCCACAAAAGAGAATTTACTGAGCAAATTCAGATAGGGCAGTTCATCAGCGTATCGGTAAATGATTAAAAGGGCACTCTTTCAATCCGGATTTAACGATGTGGCGAATACTCTATGTACAAGGTAAGCAATACGATCAAGATGGAAGACCTCCTGTATATCGTGACCCGTTGGTGACACCAGAGTGGTGAAGGAAAGATAACAGACATGTGATTACAGGTTATGGGGCAACTGATGCTTAAAAACCCAAATCTATGTGTGGAAGAAGCACACCAACCTGTGTGATCACGAGGTGCCGAAGAGATCAGTTATCAGGCATCAAAGAACAAAAACTCATGTCATTGTGTGCTCACCTCCCCATAGGATCACTGAAGACAAATGGGCGCATAAGCAAATGTGGTGAAGAAAGCTGATGGTGCCCGGCTATCAAAAGATATAGCGTCTGGGGTCTTAAA